ACAAAAACTGTTCTCTGGTTTGGATAATAGAGTTGTAATGTATTTCTGCTGTCAGATTGGTGTATTTGTGTGATAATTTTATGTGACAGTGTAATTAAATTGTAAAACAATTCCCATTTCCTATGTATTTTATCTATTTATCATCATTTATTTCTTTACCTTCTTTTTCTGCAATAAATATTATTGTAAGGAGAGTTAAATAAGTTAAACCAATGCAATTACTTTCACAGATTGAAATTAACTTCATATATCAATTTGTACACATTTATACAAAGTACCTACAACTTGCCTGGTATAAATAAATGTGTTTATTGCAGTATATTTATGATGTCACTGTGGTTTCCATGTTTGCCTTCCTTTTGAGTAATGATATATATGTTTAAACTTGACATTTTAACAGTATTTTCAAACAATTTCATTCATTATCAAATAACCATTTATTACAGTATGGCAATTTCATACCATGTACTGAACCCATTAGACACTCCTAAACAATGATTTATCAACCAATATACAGATTTTAATGCTTATCACAGCAAATACAGAATGTAACATTAAATATTGACTTGACAAGAGATAACTAAATTATCTTTTGAAAAATTCTTGATGAGTCATGTTTAGTAATAGCCAGTATGCATTTACAGCTGTACTACAAATCCAGAGAAGTATATTTGATCATTACAGTCTTCACATATTAAGATGGCTAGTTATAAAACCTATACGGATGGTAACTGTATTACCCAGGTGTTGATTATAAAGGAAAGGAAGAACAAAGGGAGTGTTTCATGTCTTGGGTGCTGACCTGCTTGGTAGCTTTGTGTATCTCAGTCTCTTCGTAGGAGAGAATACATTTCTACTCAGTAAAGTCATCTGTGGGTAACAAATCCGGGATGATCCAGACAGATCATGTTGTGTGAGACAAATGGCTACTTATAATAATCCTATCTGCTTGCTACATACAAGACACACCCAGATCATAAGGCTTGACCACATTGTCCTTGCTGGAGCACCCCACAAAAGTCAGGTGTCTGGAGCCTTTGATTAAAATGGGGAAATTGAATTTCTCTATCCAAAAAGAGCTCAATCAACAATGGAATCTGTTATCTTTGTAGGATCACATAGTGGATCCAGTAAAATGGGAAGTCCTGAGAGAATGCTGAGAGAAAGCTCAGGTTTAAAAACAATTAACAGGGTCAGAAAGGGAGGAGAGAGGCACAACACCAGCTTCCTTTCAAACAGGGTCATTTACATAAAACATTAACCCTGATAAAGGTATCTGTCAGTGTGTGGGAGGGTCTGTATTTCTCCAGTTATCCACATCCACAATGAGGTAATTTGACACTAATTGCAGAAGGATTAAATTTATTAAATCTCGATAGACTACTCCTTGACTATTAAAATTAAATGAAGGTAAAAATGAATTATTCTTTCCTAGACCAAAAATTAAACACCAAATGAATTTATGATGGTGTGGGGGAAGGCAGGCAATGAAGACCACAAACTGTGACTTTTTTTCTAAAATAAATCAAAATAAGAAGCTTAATTTTTGATATGTTTATGAATTTAACGAACGTATAGTTAAGCTAAGAAACCCATCTGCTAGAAGACGGCTTTAATAGGCAAAACACAGCAAGGATTATTAAAATTAAAAAAGGAATACATATCAAGTGATTTCCGTTCACTGGGGCAAAAGCTTAAGAGGAGGAAATTTTATAAGTTCAATTTTGAAGGGACCGTCCCATTTTTAGAATGGTCCTTACACAAAACAGTTTCAGTTCAAGGTCTGAAGCTGTCATCTGTTGCGTATTTCCTAGTCACACAGGAGGCACACAGGAGCATGGTAGAAGTGGTAGGGGACAGCTACAAAGTCAGTGGTCAGACTGGAATTCTAAAGGAGATTTGCTGATTTTGAGTTCAGGCCTTTCTCCACTGTCCTGAGCAAAACAGCAATCTGTAAATACCAATAATCCTGCTAAATATTCCGGTTCTTTAAACTGCCTTTCCTGTTATCTAGCAGGGAATTACGTATATACTTGAACGATCTTGCCATTTCATGCCATTTTTTTAAAAAAGACAGGATACAGATGTGTAAGATTCGCAATTTTCACATTTGTACCTAAACAGCTACATAACATTTCAGTGAACTCCTAAAAATTCAGATGATAATCTCAGCTTTAAAAAAACATGCTCAAATAGGTAAAACAAGTCGTTACCTCATAAATTATAGACAAGGAAACATAATGTCAGGAGAAGTTAAGTAACTTGTCCAAGCCCACAGAAACTGTAGCAACACAAGAAATAAATAGCTTCTCTTAGGGGCTGCAGGGAGAGGGGCAGAATGGGGAAAGAAGAAACAAGATATACCATGTACAGGGACGAATTCCCTCTGATGAATGTTATTACTATGTATACCTAAAATGTACCCATAAAGTAAAAGAAATAAATAGCCTCTCCTAACCCCAACCCCATCAACACATCTTCCATTTTAGTTTGAATTTTATGTGTTAAGCCTCGCTATGCAGTGTAATTGCATTTAAGCATGGACCCATGTCATCAGGTAATGAAGGAAAAATTCAAGATGTCACTCTAGACATTGGTCAACATATTGATTCAAGTCCTAACCCTACTCACACTACAAGCTACACACAAGGCCTATTAGATGCAGTTTCCGTAAACAGCACCTGGGTAAAGTCATTGCTGGATGGACTGACATTCCCTCATATTAATGGATGACCTGCTAAAAAGCAAGCAGTCCATTAAAAAAAAAAAATAGAAATTAAAGATTTCTTAAAAATTCCTAAGAAGCTTCTGCCTTTACATCTCTTCCTATTACACAAATACCTGGAACTAGAAGGCTTTCCTCTTTTTCCTAATAAGTACAATTTCATGCATTAGCAATTATATTGGGGAAAAGTGTTTTTCTTAATCATAAGGGAACCATGTAAATGAAAAATAATGCTACAATTTTAGTATTTTCTCCTCAGTTGTACTGAAATTCATTAAAAAGAACTGTTAGTATATTTTATCTATTTACAGAGTGTGCATGCTTTAAAATAAAATAATCACTTAGACTCTCAGTTGAGTAAGTTAATTTTAGGACGGAAAGTATTTTTTGGGAAATACATTTACAGAACATTTCCTTTTTGTAACAATCTAAAAGTAAAGCATTTCTGAAAATACATTTATAAACCATCTCCCCTTTGCAATAGGGAATTAGATGATGTCATTTTACTTTTTGTATTTGTGTTAGTTAAAAATGCACGTGCCTTACATAGAGCCATGTTAGCACCTTATCTTGTGTAGCGAACCTTGTTGGTCTCTCGTTGTACCCCAGAGAGAAACAGCAGTGGGTATGAGAAAAATAAAAACAGAAAACAAGAGCTGGGGTCAGATGGAGTTGCCTCTTACCCGATGAGCATGAGGACTGACTTTAACAGTAGGGGCGTTTATTTCATACACTTGCAAAGTTAGTATGGGGTGGGGATGTTGCCTAGCGACTAACAACTGTAATTGTCTGGCAGGATGCCTTTTTCAATGCTGAGGTAGCTTGACTGCTTGACCAATAACCAGCTCCAGTGGCTCCCAACAATCTTGTTAAATATATAAAATTTCCAATTCAGCAAACAATTGCTTGTATATTTTGAAATGCACTCATTTTCTCAAAACAAGTAAGATTGTGCTTTGACTGTGAAGATGTGAAGCAAATGATTAATACATGGGCAATGACAGTGTTGTATCTAATTCAAATTCATCTGGATGAGCTGCCTATAAATGACTGCAGAACAGTTAATTTTAATTGATCAATTCTCACTTTTACATAACCCAGCCTGAAAAGAATTTAAAAAGCACTATTACTGATAAACTAATTTTTGTCACAATCATCAGTCCATCCATAAACTTTGGGTTTTTTCTAATTGGGGGCTATTACTCGTATTTTTCTAAATACAGGTGGTCATCATGCTATAACATTTCATATCTTTAAGGAGGAAAATCTACTTCATTCTTCCAGGTTGATCTTTATTTTAATTGCAAAGCAAACATGGTGATACTATGTCTTGATAATTTTTCAAGAGCATTAAGTGATTTTTTTGTAGTAACCCCTATTCAAGGAAGAAGATCTTGAATACTATTCAGTGTTGAGAATTCAGTGTAGATGGATTTCTATCCAAATGACAACCATGATAGCAACCAACTGGCTGCCATGACTTTGTCAAACTTCATGACTTCCTATTATACAATGCATACCTTTGGTTTTAAGTTCGTACCTGTCACTTCTTTCAAGTGCTGCAGAAATATCTTCACAGAGAACAGGAATGGGGCTTTAAGATCTGTCCACACGATTGGTTTTGACAAGTCATCTCAACTAGGAGTCTTCTCCAACTGGTGTTGGACAATACCCACACACCTCTCATCCTCAGCCAGACTACGTTCTCCCAAGTGAGTCAAATCCTTGGTCCTGTGCGTCAAATCTCTAACGACCCAGTTTTCCCCTCGAGTGGCTCTGATCTACTCTGCGTGCAGAAATATTGCTTAGAAATGGGTGGTATGGCTTCCCTCCAGGATTCTCTGGGATGTGAAAGCACCACTCAAGGGGGACATGTGATGTATGCGTTAGTCCCATTTGACTTTCCGAAGTAGGAAAGCATAAATTCTCTCTGGAACAATTTCTTTGACTAGTTCATTGTAGGAAAGAAACTTGTCACCATGCCAGAGACAAAATTGCTGCTGGGTTTAGTTTTGAATTTTATAAAGTGAGTAAGTGAAAAATATATACACATTCATTTCAGATTCAAGTCATGAATAATGAAATGAATATGTAATTTTATCCAGTTTTACCCTCAAGCTTAACCAACAAAGACATCTTCAGTCCATGCAAAAAGGGTACTTCATGGGTTTTTTTTCCTTTAAATTGAAAGGGAGCTGCCTAACATCACTGAATTTATATGCTTGTAAGCAAGGGTAACAATCTGTCCATAAAAATCATACCGTGGAGAGTGAAGTAACTTTTGAGAGTTTTATTCAATACATCTTACACCTTCTGAAAATGATCTCACACAGCATTTTCTAAGTGTTGTCTCTAACAATTTTTATTCTTCATCATCTCTCACTGTATCTTGGTGAGGTCAGGTCCCAGGTTGGGGAGCAGGCCTACTAAGCAACAGTAAGCAGCTCAGATAAATGTTTCTGGAAATTTCACTCAAGGGTTCAGAACCAACTGTCCAGAAATGCTTTACTCACAGAACAATAAGGAAGTCCTCATAGATAAAAGAATTACACTCCATTCCAAGGTCTTAGTAGGAAACCAGGGCCGGCCTGTCCAGTTGAGCAGGCTGTGGCCTGCACTTAGCACTCACTAGAGGGAACATTCCATTAACTGAGCCACAGGTTCCGGAGCAAGGCTCTATCTGTGCAGGAGGAAGGGTGTCTCGAAAATTTGGACAAAAGTGCCTATGTGAGATTTAGAAAAAGCAACATGCGGGGCTGGGGATTTAGCTCAGTGGCAAAGCGCCTGCCTGGCAAGCGCAAGGTCATGAGTTCGGTTCCCGGTACTGGAAAAAAAAAAGAAAAAAGAAAAAGCAACATGCAACTCACCAGCCTTGGCCCAAGGAACTTCATCCCCAGAAGGGATCCCTTCGCTACTTTCCAGACAGTTGTCAGATGGGCTGGCAACAGCTCTAAGAGAAACTCTGTCCTTCTCATAGATACCTTGATTTTGCCATTCGTAGGCTGGATTTATGAGAGACGTCAGGCAAAGCACTGTGAGAAGACTCTCTTCTAATTAGTTAAAAAAACAATCTGAAGGCATGTAACACGTCCCGTTAGTACAGAGTAACAACACACCCAAATTTCTCCATCTGCTGGGAGATGGCAGGAGCCTGGTTCAACCAGGGAGTACGGTCCAACAGTAAGAACAGCAGAATAGAGCTCTCCAGGAATCTGTGTGCTCCAGAAAAGGTAGCACAAGCGCTCACACTTTCATAGAAGACAGGGACCCATAGAGAATGGAAACAGAACACAAAATGTCTACGAGGACCACAGTTTTCCACATAGAAAAGATGTCAACACATTAGTAATTCCCTGGGATTGGTGCTTCCCTCTGTACACAGGGCACCCCAAGGAAATGTCCCTCCACCGCTCACCGAGGTAACGGGTCATCCTGGCTTTCAGAACGTGGCCGAGGGCATCTTCTCATCAGGCCTGACAGTATCATTTTCTGCTAGCGCAGGGCACATGCTGTCTTGTAGCTCACTTCAGCCCTGCGTCCATGCCTGCAGCATCTCATCATTAAGGAATGTCCGATCTTGGCCCGGACTCAGCACCTCTTCAAACCTGTGGTGGCCGAGGGCTTTTATTTTGATGTATGAAGTACGACAACATCTCACGAATGGTTCTAACATGCACACCAGAGCATACGTTCAAGTAAGTACTGCTCCCTCAAAGTTGTTCTCTCCGAAAGACTTAACGTAATGATGGTGTCGTCATACACGGCTTCTTTCAGTTCTCTTCCAAGGTGCAATCATAAAGTAACGATGGATCGCTTTTCCACACTGCTCTTTACATTGGCTCTGAATCAATCCTTACCACTAATAAAAACCCCCTTTTAATTTGGCCTTCTTTTGGGGGAGGGCTGTTCACAGCCACCCACTCCCCTACAACTGTGCTGCAGCCAGGCGCACTTACACGCAGCTCCTAGACACCGCTGAGTCAGCATAAGCCATTTCCTGTTCTTAGAAGATCCGCCTCTGCTCACTAGGCTCAACGTTACCTCCTTCGGATTCCTTCTCTTACTGCCTCCCCGTTCTCCCACCCCAGTCAGTTTCGTTCCCTTCAACTTAGCTGTAGCTTAGAAGAACCAAGGTCTCAACCTAAGTGTTCACTGTCTTCCGATGTCCCTCTCTGTAGTGGATGAGCTCTTTGAAAGTACACACTGGGTCTGATTTTCCTGCATCCTTAGGGCCCAACAGCACCGACTTCTAATATTGTTCAATAAAGAGTTATCAAATGGGCTGCGGATTTAGCTCAGAGGCACAGGTTATGAGTTCAATTCCCAGTACCAGAAAAAAACCAAAAAAAAAAGAGTTATCAAATGACTGGATCCTTGAAAGAAGTGGGCAACCCAAAATGACAATTCGAAAAGTAAACATTCATTGGACTAAATTCTAATTGACTTCAAGAATTATTGGATGTTTCAATAGATGATGTTAGGTAACCTAGTCAATTTAATAAAATCAGATGCCTTGTTTTATATTATAAGCATGTACACAAAATTCCAATTGGATGGGAAACTTATGTTAAAAAAAATTAACTATGAAACCCCCAGAAGAAAACAGTGATTATTTGTAGAACTGTAGGGTAAGGAAAGCCTATCTGCACATTAGATCAAAGCCAGAACCACAAAGGAAAATGCTGATGGTGACTGAGCTAACATATCACTTTCTATGTAATGCTTTCCATACAGAGTTTAGAAGCCATGTTTTTTCTGAATTCATTTTCATTTGTTAAGAATCTAAATATCTCTAAACATCTGCCTATTCAAGGGAGCACAGAGGAACAATAATCTTCAAAATATGCTATTGTACAGACAGTCAAAACAGAGAAAATTATGTTTTAAATACTTTTCAGAGTAACAGCTGGATCCATTGATTCTGAGCTACTTCTGTGGAAGTGGAAGGAAAACTGAACATATCTGAAAATGTAACTAGTATATTATTTGACAGTGTTAGTCGTATGTTTCTGACTTTTTGGACATTACGAAGTGCTGGGCTGAGATGCACTGTTGTTATTTGTTTTGTTTTTATTTGTGTTTATTTGGGTTTTAGTGTATTGGAGACAATGTTTTGCCATGTAGCCCAGGCTCGCTGGTCTTGAACTTTACATCCTCCTGTCAGAGAGTCCAAGCACTGGGATTATAGGTGTATGCCACTGGGACCTGGCTTGCAGTACTTTTTTTAAAACTATAAAACATGGAGCTACCTATATGTTCAATACAACATGCTAATAAATAACCCTTTAAAAATATGGTGTTGAAATATATTGATCTGAAAAAGTCATGTTATATTTTTAAATAAAAAAAGAGACTTTAAACTATAAGGTGCATTTTTTTATAGGCACATGTTCACTTATATAGTTCTGGGTATACAGAAATCTAAATCTAACATATCCATAGTGACCATCTTTCGGTATATCTGTAGTTTCTCAAATTTCAACAGTAAGTATGAATAAATCATGAGATGGGAATGAAAGGTAAATAGTAGAATGGCTTACTGAAAATCAAAGCAAACACTGATCAAGTTTATTAAATGGTAGTTACTAAAATGAAGAAAAAATTAAAGGTCACACACACACACACAAGAAGTAACTCTGCCTTCAAATTATTTTCTGCCACCCTGTGGGGAATTCCACACACTGCAGAACTGAAATAAGCAAAAAGTAGAACTATGAAAAATCTGTAACTGCAGATGAAATTGCTTTACTACACTGCCCAAGTTATCGAGCTAAAGCTCTGTTGATGTTTTGTCCTTCCTGGAAGCTATTTAAGGAAAATGACGCCTGACACTAACATGTGCTTACAACATGCCAAGCACTGCTCTTCTACAAATGGTATATTTGCTCTCACAAAAAGCCTACGCGGTGGGTATTATTTTCTCCCCAGTTCGCAAGTGAGGCGGTGAGTTTAACCACCTGCTGAGGCAATGTGAATCAGGTCAGCGGCTCCAAAGTCCTGCACTCGGGGTAAACGCCTTAAATTTCTTACTTTTCCGTTCTTTCCAGGTAAAATGTTTCTGTTCCCAAACAGCCGACTGCGGGCCGGGCTCAGGAGGTGAAACTTCTGAGTCGGACGTCCACGCTCTCGCAGCCTGGGGCACAGCGCCCTGAGGACTGGCGCACTTGCAGCTACTGATCCAACAATAACACGCCTCTTTCATTCTATCCTCATTTTTCATCAAGCATGATCCACACCTAATTGAAATGCTTAAAACAGACTCTCACCCGACTCTTATGGTCTAAGCTCGTCAACACGAGCTTATCCGCCCTCTCCTCATCTCTACCGTCCTGTCACGCAGTTACTCAAAGCATCAACAAAGACAAACAGGAACTCCGTTTCCCCACCGGGCGGAAACTGCAAATAAGCGCGTCGCGCCTCAGAGGCACGGCCAATGAGGCGTCGGCGCGGCGGACGCGCCCGGAGGGACGCAGAGCGGCGCATGCGCCGGCGTCTGTCCGCCTGCCCGCCTGCCCGAGGGGCGGAGCGACGCTGCGGGTCGGCGCAGACCGAGGCGTGCGGCGAGGACGCCACGCCTCCGCTTCCGCCTGCTGCGGCGCCCGGGGGTGGGCGGGGCGGCGTCACTTCCGCCCGGCGGCTCACTGCGTCCGGGTCAGCAGCTGTGCCGCTGTCTAGAGCTGCGGCCGGCAGTCGGCTGAGGTCTCCGGCGCAGACCCAGGGGAGCGGGCTCCGCTCGGCCGACTTCTGCGACCTGGCCGTCAGCCCCACGTCGCCGGCCTGGAGGGGCGAGGAGGACGAGGGGGCCGAGGCTTCCTCCGGGGTGAGCGCGGCCGGAGGGCTGGGCGCGGGCCTGGGGGCGCCCTCGCGGGGGCCATCCGC